AACAGCTAATTCTCCCAGAACTTGATCTTTATGTTAATTTTTTCAGGGTTCCTGAAAGATGTCACCTCCCCCAGATATTAGGAAGTAATTTTAAAAACATGTACTCACATTCCCAAGAGGTGGGGTGGGTAGTTTTAGGTTATTTGTTGAATGTTTGTCATCATTTAGGGGTGTTGGTCACAAGTTGTTATTGTTATGGTCAAGGAGGAAAGTAAGTAAGGGAGATCAGATTCAAGGATCTCATTCTGAAAAGAAAAAGGGGGGTTATAGAAATTATAGAATAAAAGGGCCGATTATTGAATCTACTTTCAAACTAAAAAGCAACTACTAGTCTCAAATATTTTACATTGGTATGGATTTTTGCATATTGATCAAATATAAGGTTATTTTTGTTATAGTGTATTATGTTTCTACTCTTGTTTAAGATATTTTGTATATTGATAGAAATTTAAAGTTATTTTTGCTACACTGTATTGTGTTCCTATTTCTTGTTTAAGGTATTTTACCTATGCAGCTTATTAAAAAATGTAATGATGTCACTGTCATTTTTAAAGTTTTGGAAATTGCTTGCTTTGCACCTTATGTTTACTCAGTAATATTATATACTTTTTGGGTCTCTTATGGGGTTGAAGACTAGATAGCTACAGTTTTCCTTAGTTATGATAGAAAGTAATTAGGTACAAACTTTGAGCTCAAGATAAGATAGACGATAGAGTATTTTCTCTGAATTTACCAAAAACTAATGGGATGGACATTGTGAATGTATTTCTTACTTGATAATTATTATTATTGTATATAGTCTTACTATATTAGAGTTAAAAATTTCCTTTCTATTTAGACAAAAATGGGGAGGGTGAATGTTGCAGAAGAATTGGTCATACAGTCATTCCACTGTGCCTATAAAAGACAGAGTCAGTGCAAGAGGAAACAAATATAAAGAATTCACAATAACAGAAACATCAGATTCCAGTATAGTTTTTATATATTTTTATGGATTTTATGGAGGTGGTTCATATGGTCTGTCTGTGTAAATTGGGCTGCCATTGAACTCTCTATGTAAACCAGGCTGGCCTTCAAATCAGAGATCCATCTGCCTCTGCTTCCCTGGAAATAAAGGCATGTGCCGCCAGGCCAAGCTATAAAAATTTTAATGATCCATTTATTTCTTTAATATATATAAAAGTATTTACCATGGGAGGGAGAGGGAACTTGGATTGATATGTAAAATAAAATTGTTTCTAAATTAAAAAAAAAAAAGAAAAACGGACAGAGTCAGTGATTGGCTGACCAGGATTAGCCATAGAGTTCTTGGAGGACTGAGGAGGCCTGCTAGAAAGGACAGGAAAAGAGAAGAGGGAATTTCTGGGGGGATTTCCGGGACTGATGGTTTGGGAAAAACATGGAGAGAGGGTCAACCAATTGACTCTCCCCTGCCCTTGGATTTGTCAGGTCTCCTGAGTTTTTATTATGTTAGAACAATTTAGATATTCATTACACTTCCTTCTTGAAAGTCAGTATGACCATACATTTATTAGTGCCTTCCCCAGGGCTCCCATAGCACCCTTCCTGTTATTGTGTGAGCTAGTCTCTGCCAGAACTCATTCTGGGCTCCTGCTAGGGAATAGTGTTTGTCTCCTAGGCTGAGAACTCTCAGGATATAGAATCTCAGGTAGAATTAATTTCAGCAGAATAGGTACTCCATAAACAGAGGTGAAGAGAATCAGTGGGTATATGCTACTCACTTTAGACCAGTTCTGTCTAATCCTGGAGTGAAATGAGCCACTAAATTGTCTAGTAGTTATATTCAAAAGAATCAAAAGCAGTAAGTTGAATTGCCCCTTTTTAACCAAATCTATTAAAAATAGGATCACTCTAATAAATGATGACACAAACCAGCATCTATATGGTTTACACTGTCTTTAATATTGTGTCTTCAGAATTTCACTGTGTATTTTATACTGAACAGTGCATCTCAAAGCAGACCAGCCACATTCCAAGTAATCAGTAGCCATACTGGGCAGTGTGTTCTAGGTGAAAGGTGGTATAATTGAGGTACATGAAAAACACCTTTGCTTATGAAATCAATCACTGAGGTCATGGCTCATACTTGGTGGTTACATGGCACTTCCGTGACTTCCACCTTGGCCTACAGCACAAAGCTATAAGGGCAGGCCTGAGTATGAGAGATCTGTGTGTGATCTGTGAACAGCCAACAAAAAGCAGTGGAGTTGTGAACAGCTAACAAACCAACTCCTCAACCAGCCCTGTCGAGCTGAGATACACAAATAAGCTGCCTCTCTAGGGAACATAAAAGGCATTAGGTAAGAGCTACATTCTTTGGTGTGCAAAGCCACACCTTCCAATGCCATCACCTCTGAGGTTCTACTCACCAAAAGAGAAAGCCACAGAAATGTAAATACAGTCTATTTGCAGATGCCAAGGCAGAGGTAACTCCAGGTATCCACACCCTCTAGGGATACCATTCCATCTGAGGGAGGAGATAAAAAGAAATTTCTTAAGCAGGAAACCATTCCAAGACCTAAGCTGTTTATCTTGTTCAAGCCTGTTGGCTCTATCTAACTCAGACTGAAGTGAGTGTTTGCTGGGCCCGACCTTTACTCTGTTGGGGTCAGAACCAAAAAAAAATTCTCCATCTCTCAGCCCCAAATCACAGTGACTTCAACTGAGAAACCTAGTGCCAGTTGGCGCTGAACATAAGGTGGAACTGTGAGTCAACTTGGCACTCCTAGCCTGGCACCCTCTTGGTGGGCAGTATCCCAAAGCTGCCTGCCATGCCCCTTCTCCTTTGGAATAACAGGCCCTTCTTGTAATGAAAACAAGTCAGGGACCCAAATTAGCATCAGAACCAAACAGTCTCCTGGGAAACTAATGACAATTATTTCAGTTTTAAAATATTTTCTTTGCAACCTAGACAGAGAAGCCATGTCTTTCACAAGGACAAAAGCCTTGCACCAAAGAACTCCATCTTTTATAAAGAAATGTCATCGACCAAAGATTATGGATTAGCTGAAAGATTCTATTTGAGTCTTTCAGGATGTACTCTATGTATTTTCTTATTCTTTGCTCCTATATAATCTTTGCCCATTCATTTGTCGCTGGAATTTTTTTTTCAACAGAAGTGAAACATTTCTCATTGGCTTCTTTTTCTAATAGTCCTTCCTGCAAAAAGTTGGAGTCCTTAGAATGCAAACGGCTTGAAGATAGGTCAGGGAGCCTTGCCCTTATCAGGTGGAGAATATTCAGGCCAGCATATTTCCACCATCAAATCCTCCCTCCTAGAAATCATCTGAAAAAAATCAATTTGCATTTTGGTGTTACTAGTGTACAATTGTAGAGTGGCCATAGATTACAAAATGCCTTCACGTTTCCACAATTCTACTTTTCAGCAGTTGAAGTAGGAGCAATAGGTTAGGAGCTGGCTTTATGTGATATTTCTCCACACAACTGGTACTCTTGTCGAGAACCTTCTTTGTTCCTGGCCTTGAGGAATGCACTGGGAAACCGTCACCCAGACACAGCGCCTGCTGGAAGGAGCTGAGTCCTAAGGAGCACATAGGAAACAATAAAAACTCATAGAAACTTTCTGATAGAAGTACCAGCATGCTGTAGGAGCATGGGAGAGGGAGGTTCAAAGCAGCATTTAAGTAATTCCTTAGTCTGAAGAAATTAAGCTCCTTGGTAATGGAGTGCCTGGTATCCTAATAAGTCAGTAAGAAACTTGTAGGTAGAGAGGCCTCAAATGACTCTAAGCCACACTGACTGTCAGTGCCTTAGCTGAAAGGTGTACTTATGATGTATATAAAATAGATACTAATTGTTTATAGACTCCCTTACAGTATGACTCTAAATGATGTGAATGGTGATTACTATAGGTATATACTATAGTGTATACTATAGGCCAATTTTCTTCATGAAGTATTAGGATCCATATGCTTTTCAAATAAGGATTAGACTCCCAATACTAGAACTACTTCTAAAGGTAAACATGGCTTGAAACATTTCAATAATTTCTTTTTCTCTTTTTTGGTATTTTTCGGAACATATAGGAAATCTTCTCTGTCCTTTCCCCCCTTGTGTTATAATCACAAAAGAGTGCGAGCTCAAGGCTACAACAGGATATCCAAGAGAAGTCCCAGTAAGGGCACAGTATCAAGGGTGTAGCAGAAGTCAGAGACCTTGAACCAGACCAAGGACTCACTGTAATGAACACTTGCAAGTAAAGATGTGTAGACTGAAGTGTATACTGTGCGACTCACTGTGTCACACTACAGCTTCCATGATGAGACTTTCTTTGTATTTTGGTTTGTTTGGGGGTTTTGTTTTTAGGGGGTTTTGTTTTCTTTTAAGGTCCAAGTTGTTTTGCACATCATCTTCAGACAGGGGTAGGACTACATTGTAATAAGCACACAAAGTGCCTAGGAAGATGTTTGCCACTCAAGCTTGAGGGCTTGAATTTGGATCCCTGGTACCCAGGTAAAAAACCAAGTGTAACAAGTCACTTGTGCAATTCCAGGGCTGAGAAAAAGATGCTTGAGATGTCTTTCCATGTATGTAAAAACAGAGCACCCTTTTAAATGACATGCAATAGATGCTGTAAGTTATTTTTTTAAAACCCTAATAATTCTGGGTTGTTTCTATAGTTTTCAGCCTTACGGACAATATGTTAAAGTCTTTATTCTTAATAACATTGGTTTGACTATTTCTAGAAATTTCTGGGAGTTGCTAGCAGATTCTTTGCAGATTCTCAATGGCATCAAATATTCAACATTTAATAACAATAAATAGGTTGTCTGAAAGTACTTTTGGGTGATAATGAAACTTGCCAGTAAGTGATGGCAGAGGAAAGGTTTTGGAGTAGCTGCTGTGTGGCAGTCAAGTGCTGGGTGCTTGTGTCACCCCATGACTTCTGTAAATGCAGAAAAGAGCTGGCACCGTTGCTCTCTTTTACGATGAGCGTATTGAGACACGGGGAAGCCAAGCTCCTCTCCCAAAGGAACAGAGCTGGCAAATGGCAGAGCCAAGCTGAGTCTTTTGAATTCTTTACAGTTCAATGGGCTTCTTAATCAAATAAAGGCATGCATGTGGTTTCTTGGTTAAATCTCCAACTATGGAGTCAAGTCTGGTGGTACCAACTTTTCATTCCAGCTACTTGGGAGGCTGAGGCCAGAGAATCACAAGTTCAAGGTCTGTCTATGTCATTGGTGAATTTATTCCTGCCTGGGCAACTTTGTGAGATCCTGTTTCCAAGGAAAAGGTAAAAATGGAGCTGAGGATGGAAAGAAGATTGCCTGCCTTGTGTAAAGCTCTTGGATCAAGCTCCATTGCCTCCAAAAACAAACGAAAATCTCCCAACTATCTCTAAAGAAAACTTGAAAATGTTTGGAGGAATTTAAGAACTGCCAAAATAAATATGTAATTTCTGGAACACATATCAAGGATAGACTTCATCTGACGTATGTAAACTTCACTGTTTTAAATGTCTCCTTGCTTTAGTCAACTCATTCTTTTATTCATACTGAACAACAATGCTGTCTTAAAATATGCTATCTTAAAATGGTATGCCCCCAAATACATATATTTACTTATTCTGGAATTTTCTTTCAGATCTGGGTTTACAGCAGTTCTGTTAATTGCACAGTAAAGAAGTAAGCTTATTAGAAAGTCAGTTTGGCTCCAGGCATCATTGTACTTGTGTAGAAGTAATCTCTAACCCAAGACACTCTTTCTTTCTTACTAATGAACTATCTCTTTCTTTTGGTCTTTTTCTGAAAGATCTACTAGTTGTAGAGTATTTTTTCCCAGGACTTCTCTCTGGGGAGCAGAATCATCTGGAAATAAACTATTTGTACAGATACCATGAAATGAAACAGAGGAAAAACAGAAAAGTGTTATGCCTTGATTGCTTCAATTTTGATTGTGAAACAAATGTTTTCCATGAGCCGTTTGACTAGCATGGAATGTTTGTCAGTACAGTTTCTCCTGGTATTTTCCTAGGTGCTCCTATAGCACTGTCTGTATATCCCCATCATATCACTTACCACTATGTCCCTTATCCTTCTCATTAAACCTATAGCTAAGGGTAAACCATGCCTCTGTGTTACCTCCTGAGTTCACAGAACAACCATATGGAAAGCGCTCATTTCATTTGTTGAATGAATAGCCTTGGAAACATTACTTCCTCCAAAGCTCCTACTTAATGCACCTTTGACAGAGAAAAAGCATTAAACACCAAACCTCTCAATGGGTGAGCATGAAGCCATGAGGCTCAGGAGATTTCATGGAATGTTCCCCAGATGCAGGCCCACCTTTCCCAATATTAACACAGAGCTCAGCCATCTTTACAAACATTTATTTAACAGCAAGCATCAACGAGCAGCATGACTTCCCTAAAGAGTTTGTAGGGTGTTAGGGGAGGGCAAGCTACCTCAAAATCTGGTCAGACCAATGTGTTTACCCCCTATATATGCTCCCCTTCCATGTTTCCTTTCCCTGGTAGACAGAACACTTTCATCCTTCCCCAGCCTTTTGCTTCGGACTTGCAGCATCACCCCTATCAGAGCTCACACTAGGCGCATGCCCTTAGCGGTGGGTGGATATGCTAAAACAACATGCTTTTTCTATTAGATCGTCATTTGCACTTGTTAGTCCTTAGGCTGGGTTTTTTTTCAAACACCTTCAAGCAATCTAATGTAAGCAGAAATCATGCCTCTTCAAGGCATACCACTTTTAAAGTCACACTTTCCCTCTCCAGTCCAATGAAGAGCCAGTCATTTCTTGCTAGTGATGGTCATCTCACGGGTCAAGTAAGGAGTCTCTTTTCTATTTGGCTGTTGCTGTCATTCCTTGCTAGTGTGTTCTAGTTTGCTTCCCAGTACTGTGCTGAAGCACTGACCAAAAAATAGAGTTTATTTCACCTTTATATGTCCAGGTAACAGTCTGAAGAAGTCGAGCAGAAACCATGAGGGAACGCTGCTGATTGGCATGGTCACGAGCCATGACCAGCTACCTTTCTTATCCAACCAAGCTTAGGGAATGGTGCTTCCCACCGTGGACTGGACCCTCACACATAGGCCAGCAGTCAAAACAATCTGCATTAGACATGCCCACAGGTCCATCTGATTAAGGGAATTCAATTGAAGTTCCCTTTTCCCAGATGACTCTAGGTTGCATTAAGTTGACGATAAAACCTGGCTAGGACCCAGTGGGGACAGCTTTCTCATGCAGGGCAATAGGCCACCATTCCAGCACTTACTAATCTGTATATGGTATCTCCTTTCTGATCTCCAGGAACTCTCTCTTATTAACCTAACAATTAAAGGACAACTGGAAATCTACTCATCTGTTACTTTGTGCCTTTGCTAAAAACTTTTTACACGTTACCTCACTTAATCTCTAAGACAATCCCATATCATTATTTTTGCTTCCATTTCACAGACTTAAAATAAATAGGTTAGCAGAAATTCAACAGTATACTTAACAGTGCTTAATTTATATAGAGCTTGATCATAGCTGTGATCAGAAAGCAAGGAAATCCCAACTTTTCTCTTCTAAATTTATTTTAGTTGATGCATAGAAGTTGTATGTAATAATTGTACACATTTTTTGAACTTGCTAAATATTGTGGGATGGCTTAATCCTGCAGATTTCACATATGTTTTGCCTCACAGACTTTGTGATAAATTAAAATCCAAACCCTTGGAGATTTCCAGGAATTTTGCATGTTGTTATTCTCCATGTTGTGCATCGGATCTCTTGAACTTATTTCTTTAGTCTAACTGAAGTTTTATATCCTTGACCAACATCAAAGGGAGATGTGGAACAGATCGTATCTTAAGACTTATTTTAGAAATCTGGAAGTGACTAAGCACTGTAGAAATAATGTGTACAGAAAGCTAATCCCAAGAGTTATAATGTCTAATGGACTGGGTGAGTCAAGCTGTTCTAGACTAATGTCACACAGGAGGCTGTCACTACATGGCTGGAGTCTTTCATTCCAGGAGTCCAAATCGGAGACAGTGAAATGTCTGGTCACCACTCTGAATTTTAATGTCTGTTTTAAAATTTAAGGATGGAAATATGAAATAATTTTTACAAATCTATATTAGGTTATTTGCAGATAATTTTGGAGGGGAATGTGGTCAATAACAAGGAGGGGACAAGAGAGACAACAGGACAAAAAGAGAAACTGAATTCCTGTTCAGTTAACATTAGAGATCCCCCAGGGGGCTTTGAACCTGGAAAGCTCCCCAGTGCTTCCCAGAATGAGATAAGAGGCTGAGCCCTCACTTCCGCACAGAATGTCACCAACATGGGCTACCAAGGAGGGGTGCATGCCTGTGTCCAGCAGCTCTTCTGGGAAGAAGACAATTTCTAAAGAGGATCTCAGCTGGATTCTTCAGTGGGCAACACTCCTGAGAGCTGAGAGACTGAGCCCCGTGTCCTAAAGGCAATTCACAAGAGCATAATTAAACATCAATATGAATACCGAACAAATGAACCACGGCCTGAAAGCAACAGTTAACCCAGAGAATACAGTAGCGTGGAATGCAACGAAGCCATGGCCTCCAAAGAGATGTTAGGGAAGTCCTCAGAGACGTAATTGTCTATGTATGATTGCCTTCTGCCTCTGAAATTGCCAGGTCAGTGAGCAGTAGGAGGCTGATTTAAATCCTATCTATCCAAAGACTCTCTGAAGCAGGGCCTCTTGGGGCCCATTCAAAAGGAGCATTCTTGCTACAGCCCCCGCCACATTTCCCATTTCTGTCTATTCCATGAGCAGGTGGCCACTACCTGTGGCTGATAATTACAGGCTTTATGTATGCTGACTATGAAAGGATCTTGTCTGTGGTCAGGGCTGACAGGGAAGTATGCGACATATGTTTGACCCCATAAAAGGAGGGAAATTCTCCTTTTGTTATGGGCCATAGGGCTTTCAAGGCTACTATCCACGGAAAATGCTTGCCATGTTCAAGGGCTAAAGGCCACACACACAATCTTTTAAGAGCCTGTCAGCACAAAGTCCATTCACTGAAAGCCTTGGCTGTCCCCTGCAATTGGCAGGTAGAGTCCTATTATGTGGCCTCGCTTTGTAAAAGGCAAAATTTCATTAGCGACCACCACTGAAAATGTTTAATATTATATCTTTAAATTTCAATAATATAGTGATAAAGAAAATGCTACTGTGTGTGAACTATGTGGGTCAAAACAGAGATTTTGATCTTTGGGGAGACAATTTCTTTTGAGGCATGGAGTAAGGCACACATTCTGACAATGCCTAAGTGAATGACACAAAAGTCCTGGGCAGTAAGGTTACAAAAAAAAAACTCCACTGAAGCTGCAAGAACAATTGGAACAAAGAAATGGCCTCAACTGGTGTAATTACGTCTTCCATCTCACCCCATTCCCATTTTACATCCACTGGTAACTACCCAAACAAGGTTTGCTTCATTATGAAAGGTATTGAGTGACATTGTATCATTGTATTAGTATTATTAGAATATTTTATTTAATGGTAGGATGCTTAATTATGTCAAAGTGGGAACATAAAATGTGTTTCCACTATGACTGCAGTTCATTTTTCTCTTTCTGATTTCCAAAATGAATGTTTGAGAACATATGCTGAAAATGGCATCTCATTTGTACAACCACAAGAATGTTGGTGATTTAAGACAGAATTGTGAAACTGTAGACTCAGAAGTTATCTTGGACTTACTGTGGGAGCTTATCTTCTGCAACAGAGAAAAGAAAGGTTGATTTGACCATAGTCCTGCATTCAGGACAATGAGTGAGTCCCTCATGGCAGTCTTTTGTACCCTGGAGAAAACACTCCTGCTTTCTAATTTCATGTGTATGTGTTGATAGAAATCTTTTATTGGATAAAAGGAAAGGGAAGCCTAGAAGCCTTTTGACTAGAACAGGCTTGCTATTGTTTTTCTGTCTCAGGAAAAACTTGATTTGAGACGGTATGGGCCCCACCTTGACTTAAGCTTCAGACACAGGTGATGGGTTAACCTTGACTCTGAGGAGGCTTGCTGATATGTGATCATACAGCCCTGTTTTTGGAGTCCTTGCAGACCTTAGAGAGTGGTCGTAGCAGTGGAATTGATGGGACTTCCAATACTCCTATTTGATTCTAACACGTTTGTGGATTCTAGTGGTTCATATTCTTAAATAACGGCAGCTATTGGCAGAGTGGCAGCATTGATGCATACCTCTACCAAGACTATGCCATACTTCGTTATATCCTGCTAAGGCTAGCCCTGCAGATCATACTTTACACATCCCAGTATCCTTCATCAGTGGAAGTTACAACCAGAGAGTGATGGGAATGGAAGTCTCTTGTAGGACAAATCTCCCATCTTTTACCTGTTTTGTTTCGCTTTTCGAGATGGGGATTGTATTATGCAGGGTTGTTGCCATATTACTTGTTACCGTGTTACTTGTTGTATTGCTT